ATAAAACTACTGAAGAAAATACCCAGGGACGCTACTCAAGTCTAAAATAAAGCACATCAATGCATCTGAATTATCTCCCTCTTTAGAAAATGAAACGGTACATGCACAATACAATACATTGTACGTCTTTGTGTGTCTTTATAAATATGTCCGCAACCGTAAGTGAATGATCATACATTAGGGTATGGCTGTTTGTGTCAATTTATGTGGTAAATAAATAAGTGTATGTCTTAAGTAGGACTATCTGGCAATTTGCGTCTACGTGGTAAGTGAATGTGTTTATATGCATATTATGTATACATCGCCGAGTATGTCTATGTGGTAAGTGAATGCTTATATGGGGAATTATGCAAATATGGCTGTTTGTGTCTATATACGTGTGTGAATGAGACAATCTGAGAATGTGTCTGCATCTTTTTCTACAGTGACAGTTAGCACAGCAGTGGACGGCTGAGAGTGGTTCGGGTTTGAGTCTGGCTCAACTCATGTGGCACAGACAAATACACATGGGGATTTTACATATCATTAGAGTTATTACGTTGTGAATACCTCGTACATTGTTACATTGAGTACATTCATACATGCACAAACAGGATCTCTTTCTCTCCCCCCCCCTCTCTCTCTCTCTCTCTCTCTCACACACACACACGCACACACACACACGTACACACACACACATTATACCCATACACATATTATGCAAGCAAGTATTCCACTCATACATATAAATATGCAAACACACACATACACAAACATGTATACTTACGTACATACACACATACACATATATGAACATACGTGCTCACATATACACTCTCATTCCCGTACACTGACATATGATTCACCCTGTCCTAATCACATCACTCTTAACCATACACAAATATAGGCTACAAAAAACAACACTGCTGACACTCAGACAAATATACACTCACATATACTCATACATTCACGTATGTAAACCCTCACAAATGTAATCGCAGTTATCACAGAGGCACTTACAAAACAAAACAAAACACACACACACACTAAAACGCACACAGAAGCACACATATGCAGAAATATCAATACATTGACACGAAAACGCACGCACACACATGTACACACACACACACACACACACACACACACACACACACACACACATCCACACACACACATACACGTGTGTATCATGTGTGTGTGTGTGAGTGTGTGAGTGAGTGTACGTGTGTGTGAGTGAGTGAGTGAGTGTGACTGTTTCGTAATCCAGTACAATATCACCTGATAATTTTAGTTTTTTGTAGAGGTTTTAGGGCGCTCGCATCTGCATAAGGTCATATGAGCGCCAAACCTGAGAGTTAATGGTGCTACTAGATTCTACCTAACAGTGCATGAGAGAGACTCCCTGTTCCCCTCCCACTACCAGATTATGCGTGTGACTGTGAGCCTATTTGTGAGTGCAAGCATACTGCATGTGTGTGTGTGTGTGTGTGTGTGTGTGTGTGTGTGTGTGTGTGTGTGTGTGTGTGTGTGTTTACATGCGTGTGTATGTGTTTACGTGGTGAAACACCAAACCAATGTGCCAGGATATGGACAATTAAGATGTGTCTTATCTTACCTACTCTGCCCTAAGCTGAAAAAAAAAATGCCATTTTCCTTTTAGGCACAAATTTTTTAATTTGCCAAATCGATAGCCCGATACCCTACTTGTGCGAAAAAAAGGGAAACTGTGACTAGGTTTTTAAAAAAATAAATTCAAATTCAAATTTCGGAAGAATGTCTTTTAAAAATGTGTCGCGACACAATGGAATCAGGCACTGATCAATTTTTGGATGTATAGAGATATTTTGGGTCATCTTATAGCTTGTTTATTGTCCTTACTTTTGATGGAGACCCTATGTATCTATCTTGAATAGAAGTCCAGATATTTGCGATTTCAGGAGGTGGAGATCACTAGGTCTAGGTGTCAGGGGGAAAATTAGCGAGAAAATTGCTGCCAAAGTTTGGTGACTTCCGAAGGTGTGGTATCCATAGAAACGGCAAATTTACATTTTTTTGTTTCTTTGATCAACCATTTTCAGTACAACCCACAAAGGACTGTGTGTCTTTTAATGGACATAAAAAGTGTTTAGCAAAAAACAAAAAAATCAAATTGAAACAAATTGCCCAACGGCCAGAAAAAACGCCGGTTTCTTTGATAACATTATTTTGACAAATGCCTCATTTCCTCACAGTGCCTCAGAAATGGTTAGTCTGACAAAACTCCTTTTTATCTCAAAACTGCCGCAAAAAAAAAAAGAAAAAAAAAAAAGAGCTTTGTCAGTGTATGACAGTACTGTCTTTTATCTCGCGATGAGTGATCTATATTTGAATTCAAATAATTTGTGTGACAATGCAGTGGGATTCAAAATTATATGAGAGAATTTGTCCTGTTTTTTTTAGTGTAAAATGTACTCGCACTCATACAGACACACATGCAAACACACACAGACAGACACACATACGTACAAACAGACATACACAAACTTTCATGCACACACGCACACACACACACACTCTCTCTCTCTCACATATACACGCACACAAGCACACAAGCACACTCACACAAACACCTACATATAGAGACACATAAACAAATAGATGTTTTCTAACATGCACATGAACCGTGAACACACCCAGAACACATACAACTATAGGGCATATATGCACACATTAGCATGGCAATGAACACACAATAGTAATAAACATTGTTAACCGAGTGCAAGGGGTAAGCTAGCGGTTTGGGGGCGGGGGGCTGGTGGTGGTGGATTGGGGTAGGGTGGGGTTGGAGGATGGTGGGTGGACTATGGTGGGAAAGTCGTTTCAGGGTTCGAGTTCATTTCTATTACTTCTTTCTTGTTTTCGAACTTTTATTATTGCCATTTTGAATGGGAAAAAAAGATACTAAAACCTTGACCAGCAATCAATATGTGTCACGACATGATGTGGAGTTATTGGCATCGTCTTAAAGCTGGTTTATTCGTCTTGCTTTCCATGAAAACGATACTCATCTATCTTCAATATAAGTTGGGATATTTGTAATTAAAGGAGGCGAGGGTCTCCTGGTTTCAGAGGTAAAATTAGTGAGAAAATGGCCACCAAAGTTTGGTCAGACTTCCAAAGCCTGAAAGTTCCTGGAAACTGAAAATTAAAATTTTTTGAGTGCTTGTTATCAATTTTTTTTCCAGTACATTTCGCACACAGAAAAGTTTTTTAAAGTGGACGCAAAAGATGTTAGGGCAAAAACAAAAATTTGATAAAAATAGCCAAACAGGCAGAAAAATGCCGGTTTCTTCGATTTCGTTATTTTGACGAGCGCCTGATTTCACCACAGTGCCTCACATATTATTTGACCCATAAAATGTGACAACTTTTGGAGAGGATTTGGTAGACCTGATTTGAGGGATCAAAGGGTAGGGGGGT